GGAGAGAACAAGGGAGAAACATTAATGAGAGAGAGACACATCGATTGGTTGCCTCCTGCATGTGCCCTGACTGGGCCAGAGCTGGAGCCTGCAACTGAGGTACATGCCCTTGATTGGAATCAAACCTGAGACCCTTCAGTCAGTGGGTCAATGCTTTAACCACTGAGCAAAACCAGATAGGGCTAAAAACTATGATTTGGGATGCTACTCTTCCCCCACATAACAATATGTTATAGACATCTTTCTGTGTCAATAAAGATCTAGCTTTCCTTCTTAAGGGCTGTACAATATTTATCAGAATAGATGTATCAATTTAATAAATCCTCCGTTGATGGAAATTTCAGTGGCATCTGTGTTTTGGGGTTTCTTTTTGCTATTATAAAGACTGCAATTAATACCCCTTTAAATTTATTTTTGCACACTTGTCCTACAAATTTTTATTTTAAATCCTCACCCAAGGATATTTTTCCCATTGCTCTTTCAGAGAGAATGGAAGGGACAGAGAGAAGAAAGAGAAACATCGATGTGAGAGAGACACATCGATTGGTTGCCTCTGGACCAGGGCCAGGGATCGAGCCTACAACAGAGGTATGTGCCCTTGGCCTGAATCGAACCCGGGACCCTTCAGTCTGCAGTCCAATGCTCTAACCACTGGGAAAACTGGCTAGGGCTGTCCTGCAAATTTTTGATGGATACATTTCTGGAAGTGGAATTGCTATAATCAAGTCAATGTATATTTTAAAATGGATTATCCACTATTTTCCAGATTGTACCAAATTATACCTCCAGGAACAGTATATGGGAGCATTCACTTTTCCCACATCCTCATGAAATTATCTCTCAGTTTAATCTTTGCCAAAAGAAAAGGTGAAAAACTGATAATTTAATCTTAACCCATATTTCTTTTAAAGATTATTATGAACAATTTGATTTTTCTGAAGGGGTCCATAAAAGTCTTTAATTCTTATTTAGTCAGTCTTTCCTTTTTGAGTTCAGGGTTTGCAATTATATTTAGGCCATTACCTCCTTAGAGTTTGAAAAATATCCTCTCATATTTTCCTCCTGTATTTTTTTCCTTTTAAAATGAGCTTTACAAGGGCATAATCTACAGACAATAAAACAACCCCATTTTAAGTATACAATTCAATGACTTTTGACAAGTGCACACACCATGTAACACCCCTAATCAAGGTATAGACCATTTCCATCAGCCCAGAGGACTCCTTGTAGTTCCCTTTGCAGTCAATGTCAATGCCCCTTTACCTCTGGCCCCAGCAGCTACTAATGTGCTTGCTGTCACCATAGGTTAGTTTTGCCTATTCTGTAATTTTAGATAAATGGAACTACAGAGTATGTAGCATTTTGGGTGGTGCTTCTTTCACTTGGCATACTGCTCTTGCGATTCATCCAGATTGTTCATGTATCAGTAGTTTGTACTTTTTGTTGCTGAGCAGTACTCTGCTGTATGGATGGATTATACTTTGTCCATTCACCCACTGACAGACACTTGGGTGTTTCCCCTCTTTGTCTATTGTGAATCATGTTGCTATGAACATTCCTGTACTCATTTCTGTTTGAACACATGTTTTCAACTCTTTGGGGTATATGCCTAGGAGAGAAACTGGTGGGACATTTGGTAATTGTAATTACTAACCTCTTTCCCAAAGTGATTGTACCATATATAACAGTAAAAATTTAAATATAAAAAAATAAAATAAAAAAATAAATATAACTGAATTTTTTTTTTTTTTTTGTGCGTAGGATGTTAGATAGGAATCTAATTTCCCCCCTAATGGAAACAGAAGATAAGTCCATTGACAATTAAGACCGTCTCTTTTGTCCAGCACTGTACCCCAGTGCCTAGAATAGTGCCTAGCTGAGAAGAGATACTCAAATGTTTCTTGAATGAATAAACAAACAAATGAACTATCCCAGTACTATTTAGTGAATAATTCATCTTTTTAAAATTGATTTGAAGTACTATCTTTCTTAAATATAAATTCATATATATATATGGACCTATTTCTGTGCTCTCTTTAGTTCTACTGATTTGTCCACTTCTGGCTTAAATTACTATGCCTTTATAGTATGGCTACATTTTATATATTAACAACTTTTAACTTTTTAACTCTTTGCTGTGTTTTACCTCCAGATAGAAATGATGGGACAGGTACACTAAACCATCTCTCTCTTCTTTTCCTCTCAAAGTAATTATCTGTAATACTTAAAAGCTTCCCCTTCTTCCTCACTGGTGGCTTTGTTAGCCACTGGGGAAGACTACACAGAATGGTGTGGGATTCAGGGTTAAAGAAATGTGGGTGGGTAGCTGTATATGTCGGGGAAAAGTAATTTTGTATATTGTATTGAGCTTGCTGTTCCTTGACCTTGTATAGGAATTCCTTCTAAACTTATTGGAATGAAACAATTTCCTCTCTCATGCCCTCCCTTTCATCTGTCTGTCTGTCTGTCTGTCTATCCATCCCTTTCAAATCCCACCACAATAGGCTGGTAGTGGTATGCTAGAACCAATTTAGACCAGCTTACGAGAGTCAATTGTTGAAATTTCAGAAAGCTTGTGATCTGATTGAGACCATGTTAGTTGTTTGAAATCAGCCATGGAGGGGTATTATACCATGGAAAATGGCAAACACACCAAATCAGCCCCCCCCCCTGAGAACTGGTTATTAAACATGTACCAGCACACCACGGAGGAGGTCTACCATAAAATGTGTTCCTGTCTTTCCTCCAGTCTTACTCTAGGTAGCATTTATGTTATTCAAGGGTCTAAGGCATTCAGTAGAAAAGTTGGAATCAGGATTAATGAACGGCAAAGCTTTTGGAAAAGGAAACTTGAGGATAACTTGTACCAATCACTTTAATCACTTAAACTAAATTTGCTTCTGTCAGCTGAGTATTTCAAAGATCACTGCCTATACTCAAGAAAAAAATCTTACCTGAGCCATTATGGATCTTGGTTACTGAATCCAGATGTGTAAGACTAAAGGGATAAAATAGTTTAGGTTAGTAACAAAGCAGCAGTGAATGGAAAACAAAATGGTTATGGACTATATAACAAAATGATAAATTTCACCAGACGTCTGCAATCTGGATTAGATGAATATATATCATTTAAATTTCCATCATTGTTATATTTTTCAAGATTTTTTAAGATGTGACTTTATTCAGAGCTTTGATATAATTCAAAGAGATAATTTTGAAATTACTGTCTCTCATTGAAGCCTTCACATAGTACACATTTATTGGGCAAGACCCAGTGGTTGGCATAGGGGATACTAAGATATTATAGTTTATTATTTTTTTATAACCCAAAAGTGTCTTTGCCCTTGGAGGATTTAAAGTGCAGCAGGAGATGAACAAATGTTAATGAGATTGTTATCCTACAGTATGAGAAACATTATGATTAGGGACTGATATGAAGCATTCTCACAGAGTGGTAAAAGAAAAGGGGGCTCAACAGTTGAGCTGCTAAGATGAAAGGACAGAAGAGGACAGAAGGGACTGGGATGTAGAAGTGGAGAAGAGGAACAAGAAAGGTTTCTACCTGTGGATCCTCCTATATGCATCCTGCTCCTCTTGGCACAGGATCTTGGGCAGCTCAACTGCTGATTCAAGGCACACTTTTCCAATGGTTACATGAGGTACAATATGGATTGGGATTTCAATCCTTTCATACCTGCAAGACAACCAACTCAAGTCAGTTCTTTGTTTGTTTGTTTGTTTCCAGCTCTCTTGAGGTATAATTGACAAATAGGAATCATATATATTTAAGGTTTACAAATTGATATTTTGATATGTACATATTGTGAAATGATTACTACACTCAAGCTAATTAACATATTCATTACCTCACATAGTTTTTTGTGGTAAGAACACTTAAGATTTACTTTCTTAGCAAATTTCAAGTATATAATACAGTATTGTTAACTGTAGTCACCCTGTTGTACATTAGATCTCCAGAACTCATCCTGAAACTTTGTACCCTTTGACCAACACGTCCTCATTTTCTATTCTACCACCCCACCCCTTGCAACCACCATTCTACTCTCTGCTTCTATGAGTTTGATTGTTTTATTTTTTTAATCCTCATCTAGGATATTTTTTCCATTGCTTTTCAGAGAGAGTGGAAGCGGAGAGGGAGAGAGAGAAAAAGAGAGAGAGGGAGGGGGACAGGGAGGGAGGGAGACAGAGAAACATTGATGTGAGAGAGACACATCGATTGGCTGCCTCCAGTGTATGCCTCAACCGGAGCCGGGGATGAGCCTGCAACCAAGGCTCTTGGCCAGAATCAAACCTGGGACCCTTAAATCGCGGGCCAACACTCTAACCATTGAGCCAAACCAGTCAGGGTGAGTTTGACTATTTTAGATTCCACATATAAGTGAGAGCATGTAGGATTTGCCTTTCTTTGTCTGGCTTATTTCACTTCCCATAAAGGTTTCTACCTGTGGATCCTCCAGGTTCGTCCCTGTCAATGAAAATGGTATGTATACGCTCATACATATACAAATATCACCTTTTCTTTATCCATTTGTACACTGACAGACATTTAGGTTGCTCTAGTATTTTAGTTATTGTGGATAATGCTGCAATGAACATGGGAGTGCAGATACCATTTTGAGATTCACATTTAATTTCCTTTGGATATGTACCAAGAAGTGGCTCAGTTTTTAATTCTGAGTTGTCATAATCAGAAGTTATCTGTAGTTTTAATAGAAATTTGGGGATACGGCATGCTTTCAAAGGTTAAACATTCTTCATTTAGTAGCTCAACTTCAAAGTGGATAGAGTTCAAACTGAGTTTATCTGGGGAGCAAATTGGAAGCACATTTGCAGAGTCAATATACACTAGTCTCAGAAAATATGAGCCACTTCTATAAACTTAACAGAAGCCTTGGGAGCCCATGGTACTTATTCTTGTTCCCCAGACCAGGGTAATAGCAAATTAATATTGCTTTCAGTCAGGAAGTTGCCAGTGATATTAAACATTGATCACAAAGCCTGGGTAAGAGGATCTGAAAACTCTTCAATGAGTCCATTAGATTCATTATGTAGATGGGATCACTCATCTAAATGTTCACTTGTTCTAACTCAGTGTTCACCAGTGGCCCTTACTTCTCATTCTCTTTGCTGGGGGAAAATAGGTAAGAAATTCACAAATACTTGCATTTTCATGCTAGTGTGGGAGAAACAGCTTTGCTTGCTACTAAAGCCATCCAACCCATCTCCACCTACCTCTCACCCCAAATACACCTAAACTCCACCTACTAGTGGGTTCAGTGTAGTATCTAGGTTGAGGGTCCCTGGCACTATGAGACTTCATTGGCACATTGTGATACTGCAGCATAAAATCTAGCTCTCCCCTCTCTCTTTCCCACCCAACAGAATACCACAATCCAGATGGAATACAAATGATGGAGGATTACAAGCAACCCTCCTCTCCCCACATCTAAGTTGTCAGGGAGAAATTCATGAAAGAGTACACCACAGCCGCTTGTGGTTTGCAGAAGGTTCTTTGAGATAATACACAATGACTATTATTACGGATGGTTCCAGAAACCCTGAAGAAGTCAATCTGTTACTGCTATTAGTATGGTTAGCAGTGTTTCCCACTCAGTTCAGGACCAATGAGCAGAAATGGTTCATGGTCCACTGAGACTGGATACACATCTTCATAAATTCCTAGTGGAAATAGCTAGAATTTCTGTCAGTTTGCTCAAAACTGCAATCTCAGGACTTAGGTAGTTAGAGATACAAAGCTTAGTAGGGATTCTGCTTCTGCTAATGAACTAGATGATTAAGATGCTCTCAACAAGATGCTCTCAATCATCTTGAATAACTGGGCCAAATAAAATAGCATATTTTGGAAGTTACTAGGTAGCTACCAAAGCAGTAAGTAATTGTGGGGTCAAGATCTAGGAAAAGAGGAAAATCCAAAGAGATAAGCTTGACATTCAATGACAGTGTTCCTGTAAAAGCATCTGCTGCTTTCAGAGGAGAAAGCTTATTGGCTGGGAAGTTGAAGAGAATTTCCCAAAAGGGCTTATGGGTATTGGATGACAAAATTGTGTTCAGGGCCTGTTAAGTGGGGAGAGGCCCAGGTAAGTTGTTTCCAGGCTTTGGATTGGGACCTTAACAGTATACAATTTTGTTTCATAAATTCACTTTTAATTCTTGTATAGAATTTAAATGACATAAAAACACTTAAAAACTATATACCTATGTTAATGGGTATACAGTATGTAAAGATGTATTTGTGACATCAACAACATAAAATGTATAGCTGTATAGGAGCAGAGTTTTTGCATGCAATTAACATTAAGTTTTATCAGTTTAAAATAGAATGTTATAACTAAGATGTTTTATGTAATTACAATGGTAACTACAAAGAAAATATCTATAAAATATACACAAAAGGATATGAGAAGGGAATCAAAGCACATCACTACAAAAAATCAACAAGCCTGGCTGGTGTGACTCAATGGTTGGGAGTCGACCCATGAACCAGTTTGATTCCTGGTTAGGGCACATGACTGGGTTGTGGGCTCCATCCCCAGCAGGGGCATGCAGGAGGCAGCCAACTAATGTTGATGTTTCTCTCTCATTGATGCTTCTATCTCTTTCTCTCCCTTCCTCTTTCTCTAAAATCAATAAAAACATATTTTTTTAAAAAAAAAAAATCCACAAAGCACAAAGAAAGTCACTAAGAAAAGAAAGGAAGGACAAAAATCTACAAGACATACAAAAAATATTTACAAATTTTCAACAGTAACTACTTCCATATCAATAATTGCTTTAAATTAAATGGATTAAATTTTCCAATCAAAAGACATAGATTGGCTGAAGTGGATACAAAAAAAAAAAAAAAAAAAAAAACAAAAAAACAGGTCCCAACTAAATGAGAAACTCACTTTACATGTAACGTCACACTTAAACTGAAAGTGAAAACATGGAAAAAGACATTTTATCCAAATAGTAACCGAGAGAGAGGAAAATAACAAGTGGTTTTGGTGAGGATGTGAAAAAGCTGGAACCCTGTGTTCTGTTGGTGGGTTGTAAAATGGTGCAGCATGTATGAAAAAAAAAATGGAGATTCCTTAAAAAAATTAAAACTAAAATGGTAATATGATCCAGCAGACAAAATGGACTGTAAGTCACAAACTTTTAAAAGAGACAAAGAAGGACATTATATAAGGATAAAATGGTCAATTAACCAAGAAGATAAAATAATTATAAATATTTATGTATCAAATATCAGAGCTCCTAAATATATGAAGCAAACAGAATTAAAGAGAGAAACAGACAGCAACACAATAATACTAGATGTCACTATCTCACTTTCAATAATGGATAAAACAACCAGGCAGAAGATAAGGATATAGAGGAACTGAACAACACTATAGCAAAACTGGGCCTAACAGATACACAGAATACTCCACCCAACAACAGTAAAATTTACATTCTTCTCAAGTGCACACGGAACAGTCCTCGGGATTCATTTGAGTTATTCGTATACTCATCTTGTACTTGTTTTCTATTTGCACATAATACTATTGTCTACCTGTATAGGTTTAACCAAGTCATAGAATGCAAGATTAACACAAAAAGTCAGTTCTGTTCTTATGTGTTAACAATGATCATTTGTAAATGGAAGTTTTTTAAAAATGCCATTCAAAATAGCTCCCTAAAAAATTGAATACATTTGGGTTGTTTCCACATCTTGGCATTTTGGCTATTGTGAATAATGCTGTAATGAACATGCCGGGCATGCAAGTATCTCTTTGAGATCCTGCTTTCAGTTCATTTGGACATGTAACCATCAGTGGGATTGCTGGATCATATTACCATTTTAGTTTTAATTTTTTTAAGGATTCTCTATTTTGTTTTCTATACATGCTAGACCATTTTACATCCCACCAACAGAACACAGGGTTCCAACTTTTTCACATCCTCACCAAAACTACTTGTTATTTTCCATGTTTTTGATAGCCATCCTAATGAGTGTGAGATATTTCATTGCATTGTGATTTGCATTTCTCTAATGATTAGTGACTCTGAGCATCTTCCATGTTCATTGACCAATTTGTATATCTTCTTTAGAGAAATGTATACTCAAGTCCTTTGCCCATTTTAAATTGGGTTGTTTTATTGATGTTGAGTTGTAGGAATTCTCTATCTATTCTAGATATTAACCTTTTATAAAATAATTTTCAAAAATCTCTCCCATTATGTAGCTTGCACTTTCACTCAATTGTGTCCATTGATGAACAAAAGTTTTTAATTTAATATAGTTCATTTATCTATTTTTGCTTTTGTTGCCTGTACTTTTGGTGCAATATCCAACAAGTCAATGCCAAATTCAATCTCATGAGCCTTCTACATTTGCTTTAGGAGTTTTATAGTTTTAGGTCTTACATTTAGGTTTTTATTCCATTTTGAGTTAATTTATATATATGCACATTCTCCCCATGTCTGCACATGCTTTCTCTGGCTACTCGTTTTCTCTGGGTATCCGCATCCCAAAGATGTACAAATGAGGTGAATTGGCGTGTCTAAATTGTCCCAGGGAGCCGAACCAGCATGGCTCAGGGTTTGATCATCAACCCATGAACCTGGAGATCACGGTTCAATTCCTGCTCAGGGCATATGCCCAGGTTGTGGGCTTGATTCCTAGTA